ATTATTTTATATTATTACTTTATTATTTTATATTGTTATTCTATTATTTTATATTGTTATTCTATTATTTTATATTGTTATTCTATTATTTTATATTGTTACTCTATTATTTTATATTGTTATTCTATTATTTTATATTAATATATTAAGTAGGAAAAGATTAACAAATTAATTAACAAATTAACAAATTAGTTAATTAATAAGCAAATTAGTTAATTGATTAGCAAATTAGTAGATTAGCAAGATTAACAAGATTAGCAAAGAAATAGTTACCTTTTCTACCTTTCTTACCTTTTCTATCTTTTTTACCTTTTCTACCTTTTTTACCTTTCTATCTTTTCTACCTTTTTTACTTTTTCTATCTTTTTTACAGTTTTTTATTATTTCTAAATAATATATAAACTCTGGCTTTTCTTCTTCTTACTAGATAAGTTCAAATTAGACACAGATATCTCTTTAATTATAGACTTCCTTCTTGTAATTAAAGTTTTATAAATAGTAAATAAAATATATCTTTCTTTAACTATATACTTTCCCAACTGCCCTTAGTGAAGTTATATTCCACTTCTATATTGCTACATTATTGCAACAGATTTCTGTAGCTGTATGCTTTGTTACTTATACTGTATTAAGAAGATTACAGTTCACTTATAATACTGTGATTTTGCTACAATAATAAAACAGATCAAATAATTTTTATTTTTATAGAATTATAGCAACTAATAAGTATATAGTATATATAGGTTTAGTTAACTAAAAACATATTTGTAAATTGGTTCTAATTAATAAAATAAAGATAAGATTACTGAAGGTATAGTGATTTAGTGAAGTGGTTAAGTTGTTATACCTTCAAGCAATATATTAACAGATTCAAAATCTACTGATGATGAAAATTCAAAAATTCACTTATATGATAACTACTGTCTTTCAACAATTGATTAGAATAAAATTACTATAACCTTAGTAGTACTAACAAGATTAAAAGATTATAAGATATTTATATAATATATAAGTTACATGAAGGCATACAAGTTGATATTAGTTAGTGCAAATCTAAAATAAAACCTTGTGATTGTATAAACTTAGAAAACTGAAAAGATAAACACTTATTTAATAAGATTTGAATAGAAAAGTATTACAAATTTTTAATGATAGTTACTAAAATAGACTTTATCTAAAGCTGGCATAACTAAACAAAAACCAGATATTTAGAGGAAAAGTATTCTATTAATTAAACTATTAAAACACTAGAGAAAAAAGATTTATAAGGCAGATACCAAATGACTGGTGTCCTATCTGGACCATCTGAATTAATAATTTGAAAAAACCAACTAGAGAGTACTAAAGGGAAGATACTGGGTTATTTTGAAAGAAAGATATCAGAGTTTGGATAAACTTTACAAGAGCTAAATAGATAATAGTAATAACTTTAACTTGCAAGTACTTGTCTTTGGACTCAATATAAATTACTGAAGCAAACTAAGTAATATAACAATAGTGGATACTAGACTGCTCTAGCAGATAATATACTTGAGGATAAATCAGTTAACTATACTAGTAGTTCTATAGATGGTTATGATGATTTTAGAACTTAGACTGATTAATATATCACATGTTCTGAATAAGATTAGATGGATTAGCATAGGAAACTCAGATCAAAAAATTTAAATAAAAGATTTATAGGCAGATTATAGATATAATATATAGAGGGTAACTATAAATAAAAATAGATATAACAGAGCTTTTAAATAGACAATAGCTAAAGTTGTATGTGTGTTTATATGTATTTTTATCAGAATGTACTTGTTTGAGGCTTTCTTGAAAAAAGCATCACATGATCCTAATCTAATAAAAGCAATAAACCGAAGAAGCTAACCTTGATTATAAAAAAAAAAATAATAAATAAATAAAGATAAAATTACTGAAGTAAAAAAAATAAAAATGTTCAAAACCTCAAAAACCTTATACCAACTAAAATTAAAATCCTAATATTTAATTCTAAACTTTGTTTAAAATTACACCCTAATTAAAAAACATAAGGGCCGTGATTCTTTTTCAGTTAAATATAGTTATTTTCTTTAAAAAACATTCAAAATAATTTTATTATTTTGATAGCAAATCACATATGGTTTTGCTATTCAATTTAGAAGATGGCTAAAGTCATATACTCGTGTGATTTTAAAATTAAAATTAGAATTTGTTAATTTGATGTTGATATAAAAAAAGAAATATAGATAAAATTGCCTTTTCGTGCGTTTTTATTTTTTGACTTCTTCGGGTTGGTCGATTTACACAAAAAGTCATGTGGGTACATGGCTTTAGACGACCCCGATTAGCATCTAAAGTCTGTCCAATTGCGTATTGATCTATTTTTATAAATAACTAATCTAATTGGTTGATGCACAAACTTAAACGTAAATCGGTTCTCATAAAATTTTTAACAATGACCCAGCAACTCGGCTTTTAATTTTATTTTTTAAAAAAACTCACTCGGATAGTAAATATACTTATAGCAGTTCTCATAAATTCTGGGACAACTGATAAAAATTGATCGACCGAATCCAATCTCGATAACACCGAATTCAAAAACTTATCGAATTAGGCCAATCAAATTGTCCCAGAATTTATGAAAACAGCTGTAAAGTTTTGTAAAATTTAATGAGAACCGATTTATTAAGTTTGTATGGACTTATTATACGAATTTTTGCTCATAAGTAATGCTAAAGAGTAACAAGTGAATACTTGTTACAAGTAACAGAAGAACGATAAAAAACCAAATAAAACGGATATACTAAGCTATAGAAAGAAGCACTCTTATTTGTTAAAATATTCGGGTGTTTTAGAAAGAGTTGGCTGGGTTATTTTACGATAGGTTAAGGGAGAAATTTTCAAGAAAGTATATAGTCTTTTTAACCTACTTCTGGCCTATATTTTTGATACATTTAATTATAGACTCAATGTAGGTTAAAAAACCGTGAAAATTCGCTTTGGTAGCAATTTTTTAGACGAAAACGATCTTCAATTATGGTTGATAAATTGATATGCGTAATTACACAATTACACAAATCTACGAACCCCTAAGACGTAATAAATTCGATCATCGGATTCGTAAAGAGTTGTAAAGAATAAAAAAATATATACTTATATCAGATATAATAATAAATTTGTATTTAAATATGTTAATAATTTATTATAACAAGATGTAATCTAACTATCGTTATCATCAATTGCACATTTACTATCAAATTTAGAACCAACATAAATCTATTCCGGACGTACATATCAGATATCTCAAATCTTTCTGCACATTATTTTACGTATACGTATTAATTCATTGTCTACTTTTTCAGTTATTTCTAATGTTATAATGTAGTGCAAATTTTCATTGATAAAAGTATGACGCAAATTCTTATTGGTTGATGATCTAAATTTTATAAGGCCATGCGACCCATATCCGGGAATTACTATTTTAAAATATGTCTCGGTGAAACGATTCTAATGAGCTTAAAATCGTTAGAATCGTTAGAATAGTCTCATCAAGACGGTCTTTTTTGCGGATAAGCAATGATTTTAGACAAGTATAATAATAGTTGTTTTAATGAATTTAGTAATAATAATATCTGACTAAATAAAATAACTTTCAAGTCTTAGACGTTAAAAGACTAGCTTCGTGAAGATTCACAAATTGTATCGGTATTTGAACATAATACACGTATGTAGCATTAATGGCTTTATTAATTTAGGTTAATAAAAAACGATCGTCCGCCATAAACTTGAAATATGTATTTTATAGGGTGACTCGTGAATCAATAACTTTATTTAAAAGACAACGTAAATTCGTCGATTTGTGTAATCTACGATAAAACTTTAGATATGACAAATCGTGTGATTGCTAATTACAAATACACTAATCACGAATCATATCGCACATTATCGTTATTTAATAATTTATTTAAAAAAATATATAGAATATAAATACCATAAAACCCTTGGCGTTGGTTCATGTTCAAAAATCACTCATTTGTACTTTGAAAGAATGCATGGATAGCATTATTCATAAAAATAAGTAAAAGCATTCTAACTGTCAGGCGTTCAAATTATATTTATATGCTATATAGTGATTAATAGCTATTAATCGTTACATGTTGATTCGATAACTATCTACCAAAAAAAAAACATTTCCAATGTCTCGCTTGAGTTCTGGTGTTCCGTCGAGAACAACTCAAATGACCTTGAAAGAACAAGAACGAGTAAATTTTTTATTATATTATCTCCACCTTATTTTTTATTACCTATTCATTCATTCAACTTCTATGTAGGTTGTTGATGAGATCAAAAAGGAAAATTTTGGTTTAAAGATGAAAGTATATTTTTTAGAAGAGCGATTGAGTAAACTCGGTCCAGATGAAATGGTATTTAATAATATGTATACTCATTGATCATTTTTATTATCATTTTATTAATTAAAATTCTTTTCAATTAGGAAAGGGCTTTAAAAGAGGTTGGAGAATATATGTAGTGTGATAATTATTATTTTGTCTGACATAAGCTTCTTTTCAATTCCTTTTATAAATTCCTTTCGGATTTTACATTCATCCTTGGATCACTTCTTTATAGAATGTAGACATAAAGATTCAAAATCATGATCTTAAAACTGAATTAAAAGAATACAAGAAATTACTATTAGAGTCCGATAAAGCTATACAAACTCTTCAACAAAATGGTACTGGTTGTCTTTTACAGCATGGTATGTCACCGGCAGAAGAAGTTGCCTATCATAGAGCTATTAATCGGGCTGAAGAGCTTAGTCAGGAAAATGATCGCATTCAACGCAAGCTCGCTGAACAACAAGGTGAAATTAAACGCCTTCGTGAATCAATAAAGATAACAAGACCTGAAATTAATTTTGACGATGAAGCACCGCTGGATTTACTTGATTCAAGTACTGAACATCAACAATTAAAAGAATTGATAAATCGTGACAACCGTCTGTCCGGTGATCAAAATACCAAGATTGCAATGTTGAAAGAGACGTTGCGTAAAGAAAGAGATGAAAAACATGCTATTTCAATTGAGTCTGAAGGACTTCGGCAGCAAATACTTGATCTTAAAAATCAAATGGTTGAATCAAATGTAGAGCTAAAGAGGTTGCAAGAAGTCACAATGAAAAATTCCCATTTATTAAGAAAAGGAGAGTTGGAAAGAGATAATGAAATAATTGATGATTGGGATGTGAGCAGAAAAATAAATGATGCTGCTGATAAAGCAAGGCAAGATGAAATTGAAAAATTAAAAGCGGTAGGTTACTCAGCAACTACCGTTTAAATCCGTTTAAATCCGTTTAAATCTGTTTAAATTTGTGTTTGAATATTTCAATCATCAAACTATAAATTATTCTCATTGACTATAAATAGCAAATTACCAATCTTAACAAGCAGTTGGCTTCCCGGACAAATGAAAATGATGATTTATATTCTGAATTAGAGATGATTAAAGGTCCCCTTAGTTCTACTTCGTCTTGTGGAGATATTTCTTCACGCTTCCTTAATGGAGAATTTAGTGAACAATACGAAGAGGTGTTTAAATTTACTTTAGCATATCAATTCATTATATGAGAAAAGTCTAAAATAATGCAAACCATTTTTACTTTTAAATTCTGATCAATTTATTTGTCAAAAATTGTTTTATTGTTTCTCCGTATATATATATATATATAAATATATATATATATATTTTTTTTTTTAAAAAAACATGTTCACGTGCATTTAGAGTCTTGGTCATTTACGTGATAAAGTAGCAGAGCTGACACTTCAACTCCGTGAAAAATCCATGGAAGTTGATCAACTGGTAGTAGAACTGGAGAGAAACACGTTGGCACATTCTACTTCGGTTCAAGATTTCGAAGATGACATGGACAGAATGGAATGTCAATTCCAAGAGGAAATTGCTTTGTTGAGAGATGTGAGCAACTTTATTTTTAAGTATTTTCTGGTGCAAAAAAAAATCTTTTTAGAGTATTTATTTCTTGAACTTATTCAAAGCAATTGGATGAACTACAAAATGAAAATGAACAATTAACATACGAACTTGATGCGTTGGATCGTGTTTGCCAAGAGAACGATATGCGTTATGAAGAATCGAAAGCTCAGATAGAAAATCAACAGCGCGAGATACTGGAATTGTCTCAATCAACTGAAAAGGTAGACTATTTATCATACTTTATAAAGCCTTCAAGATAATTAACTAATATCAAAATGTATTACGAATTCATTAGTATCAAGCTGAATTAGAAAATAAATCTAAAGAGTTGATAAACTTGACAGAGTCTTTGAAAAAGGTTCGTCTAAATTAACCTTATTTAGGCGTATATTTTCTTAGGTTCTAAATGAGGTTTTAAATCCGTATAATATAGTCAAAAAACCAGTTAACTAGTATGGAACAGGCTCTTAATGACAAGGGTATGGAAATAACTGAACTTCAGTGTCAATTAGAAATTAAAATGAAAAGGTTAGAATCCGATGAGAAATTACATGAGAGTGTTGTTTCGGACTTGAAAGAGGTAAAATATCGCTTTTATAGATATTTAATTTAATATAAAGTAACTACCTGTATTATGTATTGACATTTTTACGATTCTGTTTTATTCAATTTAGGAAGTTCGAGACAAAAATTCTACCATTGACGAATTAAAAGCACAAGTTGCTTATCTCGAAAATAATATTTCACAGGAGAAAAAGGTATTTACTAATCCTCACATAATATAGTTTACATAATGGTTATTTTCTAAGCAAATATATTTTAGTCTACCTATTCGAACGAGACTCAATATCGCGATCAGATTATCGAACGTAACACGTTATTAATGACTACGTATCAATATCTTGATGATATACTTTCTGATGGAACAAATAAACAAGTTTGTAGATGTATTGTCGTTTGTTTTTCATTTATATGATTTTACTTAAAGTAATCGTTGTCATTAGTCCACCTATCCGAAACCATCCGCCAATTTCAAAATATTCCACGAGCATCTATTATCGAAACTTAAAGTTTTAAGCAACACTTATAACACGTTTGATCGTAGAGTGAAAGAAATAGAAAATCGTTGGCAGGAGCAATATGAGTTTGTATCTACTTTGTCATCAAATTATTCTGTATTTTTATTTTTATTTATAATTTCCTCAAACTGTAATTTTTTCGATATTCAGATCTCTTAAGAATCAAATGGATATAAAGCTACGTTTACTAAATAGATTTGAAGGAATGGTTAATAAAGCCACTACTGCTCAGAAAGATTTGAGAGAACAAGCAAAAAAAAACCAAAACGAACTTGATGCCGCCAAAGTATTTATTATTATATTTATCGTAAATTGTTTATTTATTTTCCTTTTTTTAAGCTTACGTAATATTATTATTTATAGAATGCCAATGATGAGCTTGTTTATCAGCTTTCAACTTTGCAAGAGCAGCTTGAAGAATATAAAGTAGCTAGTGCTCATTCCGAAGAACTTGAAATTAAACTCAGAACAACAGAATCCAGAGTTAGAGAATTAGAATATAGGGAAAAACAGGCAGAGGAAAGGCTCAAGGTTGAAAAACAAGGTGCCAAAGAAAAAGCTGAATCTTTAATTGAAAACATTAAGTACATATCTTTATTTTCTTCTAAAAGTTTTCATTGCGAATATAAATATTCAACGTTTCTATTTACTTTAATGAATATGTAGAGACATTGAAGCTCAATTGCAAGCCCAGAATCGTAGGAATTCTCAATTGCAGGAAATGATTTCTATGCAAAAAGCTTCAATGGAGGAGGTAAAAATCTTTTTTGTATTGCTTAGTTTAGCCTATGGCTGGCCTGCGTTGAAATCTAGCGTCATATTGGTTGCTATAAATTTGTAGAATGCATTCGTATTAATTTCAATATATATATATATATATTTAGGCAACAAACGAATCAAAAGTTAGAGCAGCTAAAGTAGAAAACACATTTGCAATGCTAAATGAGCAGCTTCGTGAACAATTGGAGGAAAAGAACAAAACAATTGAAAATGAGAGACGGAGAGTTAAAAATTTGGAAGATCAAGTGCGTCATTGCATTATGAATTCGACTTTATCATTCTTGTATCTGAGAGTATATACTTATGTTTTAAACGGCAACTTTCGATCCATACTCAAATAGTTTTCTAGTATGCTTGAAGAACAAAAACGGTTACATTTGCAAATTGAAGGGAGGGAAACCATGATTAACAAAGTTCTCAGTGGGTTACAGGTATGTGTAATTCAAGTTCCTTGGCTTTCATTTAATTATCATAACGGATGTTTAAAAATAATTTGAATTCAGATGATCAACCAACGCAAAGATGTGTTAGAAAATACAGCATTGAAAAATATTACAGAGGATATGCAAATTGCGCTTTCGCTTGATCGAAAACCCTCTTATCAACCTCCCGCTTATATTAATCCACCTTGGAAACCAGCTGGCAATAATCTCAGCGTAGCCCATCCTAAAAAAACCACGGTGAAAACACCATCGACTAAATCATCCATTCCCGTCTCTTCGAAATCAAAAGGTGTAAATTCCACTAAATCATTAATACCGACACCTAGTGAAAAGATAGCAAACGAAAAATCTTGTTTCAATAAAAGTTGAACCAGTTTTCACGTAACATCTTTCATTTTATTTTTACTATTTTTAAAAAGTTATACTGTACATGTTAGAAGTTTAATAATAAACTAGGCAAATACGCATTAACTCATTCCTCCTCACAGCTACTTTCGGTCGAGTTTCTTGCCAGCAAAAGGCGTTTATTTACCTATTCAACCAATCAGCGCCATTCACGACCAGGTGCAACGTGAAATTGGAACCGCATAAACCGTTTATCCGTGTTATCCGGTTAATTCGAAACTATGAAACAATCTTTAAGCAATTAAACGGTTTCGATCTTTATTTCGTGTACAAATAAAATAAAATAAAATAAAAAATTTTGGCGTATATTTCATTGAATTTAACCTTTAAAGATAAATTTATAGCAAATAAATATTTATTATTTGGTATATTTGTGTTATTCAGTACAGGACAGCAAAAAACATACAATTTTTTAGCAATTATTTAATAACTTTATAACAAATAATTATTTTAAAAATCCTTCTTACAGATTTATTACTTATAAACTAAACTACAAATCTGTAAAACAAATTTTTAATACAGTATCTTGCTTTTTACAAAAGTTATAAGGAATCAAAGTTTGGTAATTTTATTAGTAAAGCAGAAATTTGGCGCAACGAAATTAACCAATCATATTTAGTTCAAGTTATGTGCTAGCAATTTTATTGGTTAATGCTTATTAAAAATTAAAATTTGGCATTTACTATATAAAAAAAATAGTTTAGAATTTCTATTTGTACGTGTATTTGAATACTCATTACACAAAACAAATAGAAAAGCCAATCAAAATATAAAATTAAATGCAGTATGCAGATCAATTTTTGTATAACAAAAATAAAGAAAAAAATAAAAAATTAGTAATGTCTTAAAATTCTATTTATGAAACCATCTTTTTTTAGGTTTTAAGAAAAAAAATTCCTTGCAAAATTTTACTATTAACTATATCTTTTACTAACTTTAACCTCTAATTCTAACCTAATATTAATTAAAATTATTTTTGTTTACTTATATTTTTAATAAAAATTAATTGTAGATTATACCAGTGTTCAAACACTATATGTACAAATAGTTATTTTCTTAATAAAATTAGCCAATCAAAATTGATTAAATAATTGTAAATTTGGTACTTTGTATAAAAAAATTGCAGCGAACTCTTCCTGATGATCATTTGTACCAAACTTACAGCTAATGAAAACAGAAACTTGTTGGAGAAAAGTAGAAGAAACAACTACAAATAACAGTTTTTACAGAGTTCAAGGCTTTAACTTGATTTTCTCCAAACTCTTCTGTATATTCAGTATGCAAGTTAAAAACATTCTTGTACAAGATAACTGGCAAGAAGGTGGTGCCCTTGTACAAAAAATTTTAATAGAAGCCCTGCTTCTGCTGATGAAGTTAAAGATAGTTGGTCTAAGGAAGACAATAAGCAAGTTTTTAATATACTCTTTACCAAAGTTTAAGGATATCTGCAAACTGAAATCCAATATCAAACTTTACTTTTTGTATTTTTCGAAATTTCACCAAAAAGTGGAAAAAACAGTGTATTCCCAACAAAAGATCGACATAGTAACAGCTGCTGAAAAAGGAAAGTTATGTACATATATACGTGTCTACTTTGGGATGAATAGTGGTAGATAATGTGATAATGTTTGAAGCATTGCAGAAGACCTGCCGGCCTAGTTGGGATAGTACTGAAAGTTTCGACCTTGGAGCTTTACTTTAAGACCAGATAGTTTTTAACATTTTTACATTCTGGATATTGACATAAATAACTAGCATAGAGTTTAGTCTAGTTTATTTGTAGTACTATATAATTTTTATAATTCAGCATGGGTTTAATAGTGCTATTTTTGTTTCTTTTCTTTGTTTTCTTTTTTT